TCTTCACCCCTGCCTAAGTTAGCCTGTTCTAATATGGTTTGATCTCTAAGAGTAGCATTGTGGTTGCAATTTGTCTGTTTGGACCTTGTCCAGCCTGTTCCTCTCAGCTTCTAGGCTGTCAGATTGTTCTTAGGTGCTAGAACTGTTGCTGCGGTCCTTTTCTCGTATTCTGTATACCTCTAAACCTTGTGGTTTCGTGATAATMCCTTGGTTGGGCCCTSKGGACTGTCTTAGCCTTGCTCTCCCTTCCTACATGAATCCACTTKCTGTTTTGCTTGCTGGCTTTACCTTTCAAYGACTCACTCYACTTTTTGTATAAAACCCTAAACCCTAGCTGTTGTARCTTGCCTACTGAGTGCTTATTGGAGACKMCTCCTAGGATCTGTGTTCCCTATCCTAGGTTTTAAACTTGTTACTCGAGGGTAGTGTTGTTATGGGAGATATTTGTGAGTTGAGGTTGGTGTTATTTAGTTGACTTSAAAAGTGTTTAYGAGGGGTGTTTGCAAGATCAGGCTGAGGGTTGAGGTTGTTGTGATCTCGTGTGGAAGATGGGTTGATAAAGGTTGGGCCTCGGGTAGTTGAAATGATGGTGGTGGGACTAGTTGTGTGMGGGGCGGCTACGAGTGATGCTAGGGAGTTTAGGGGGGGCTGGGCTTATGCGTTTCACTTGGGTAGGATATATGTAGGTTTTGGCAATGTGGTCTGCAGTCTGTTGGTATGGGGTATTATTGAGCTGTGGTTGGGGGATGTGTTTTTTTTTTTTTTGGGGGGGKGGGGGGAGTTGGTTTGGTTGGCAGGTGAGTTTTCCGGATTGTAACTTAGTTGCCTTAATATTCTGTGGTTTTAATAGGGTGTTATATTTGTTCGCCTTCTCTAAGAGGAGGACATATGGATGTTAAGGGAATCTGGTATGCTGACGAGTGAATGTGAATCTGCTTGTGGTGCCCCTGTGTTTCCCTCCCATAGTATGAAGATCAGGCAATGTCCTTTTATCTCTGCTATTTTACCCTTTGCTAGGTAGTTGGTCTCGAAGTTGTTTTTGTATTCCTTTGCTTTGTTCCCATCCTTTCTCATTTTCCTTCTCTCTCTGCGCCATAGTACCCAGTATTCTGTTTCAACTTCTTGTTGTAATAGACCCCATGCTTCCTGAATGTGCATTGACTGTTTCTCTATAGTTTCCTGACACCTCTTTCTCCASATGGTCCACAAAGTAGCTTTCCTAAGTATTTGAAAGAGATTAGTTACTAAGTTCGTCCATTCTTCCGGAGTATTGAATCCTAGTAGTAGTAATATTSGATTCTTAGTGAGATCTATATTGGTTATTTTTTCCCCAATTTTCTTGATTCTTTGCCATAGTGGTTGTATTCTGGGGCATCTGAAGAAGCAGTGATAAAGGTCCTCTATCTGTCCTTCTTTGCATGTGGAACAGAGTTCGTTTAGTGTGCTTCTATCTTCTTTTTTTGTTCTCACGTTTAACCATTGGTTAAGTGGGACCGCCAAGTACAGGATCAACCATTGTAGACTTCTGAATTTAGGCGGGTTGGTTGTGGTTATTTGGTTCCATGGGATTTGGTTGAAGTTTTCTGGGTCTACTTGAAGGTGGTTCCACCATCTCTCAGTTATCACTGGATCTGGGCAAGCTGATCTCCTCCTTAGTTTGTATCCGAGGCTTGTGGTATAAAGTAGGATGTTATATTTCAAGCTGATTCCAGTGGTTCTCTGTTTCTGGTTCCATGCACATTCTGCCGGGTCCACCTCTAGATTCTCCAGAGCAATTTGTAGATTATACAGGGTTAGTTCTTCGCTTTCTATCACTCTTACTTTTCTGAGGTTGTCTTCTCTGACTGTGACCTGCCCTTCACTATTTTTATTTACTTTACTATAGTCCTTGTGGGGATTTTCTATTGTGTGCATAGTGAAAGTGAACCAGTTAATCTTTCCTTCTACCCTTTCTTT